CATGTTAACAACCCACAGCAGTACATAGAGATATTACCAGTATGTAATTCATTCAACAATGTCATATCTGTTGGGTTTATCATTTTAAGATTCTAAAATAACAATAAATATCAAGGGTATAAAGTTAACCTTATATCAGTAAGATTAGTTATTCACAAATTAATTTGACAATTGACCTCATTTTCTTCAATTTGTTCGCGTTAAGAGCTGATGCTTATGGTTTAACGCAGATTAAAGTATTTCGAGGCGCCATGATCATCATGATGTTTGTTTGTTGTTTAACGCGATTACAATTTCCTAACTAATGATTAAGTTATTTTATATGATGCATGATATGTCAATGAGCTGATGTTTCAATATTGACCTCATTTTCTTCAATTTGTTAGCGTTAAGAGCTGATGCTTATGGTTTAACGCAGATTAAAGTATTTCGAGGCGCCATGATCATCATGATGTTTGTTTGTTGTTTAACGCGATTACAATTTCCTAATTAATTATTAAGCTAATTTATATGATGCATGATATGTCAATGAGCTGATGTTTTAATATTGACCTCATTTTTCTTCAAATTGTTAACATTAAGAGCTGATGCTTATGGTTTAACGCAGATTAAAGTATTTCGAGGCGTCATGATCATCAGGATGTTTGTTTGTTGTTAAACGCCGCAAGCAACAATATTCCAGCTATATTACGGCGGTCTGTAAATAATCGAGTCTGGACCAGACAATCTAGTGATTAACACAATGAGCATCGATCCATGCAATCGACATACGATGACATGTATCAACCAAGTCAGCGAGCCTGACCACGTGCACCCGATCCCGTTAGTCGCCTCTTTCGACAAGCATAGTTGCATTCATAGCATTCATGTTCCTAATCCTCATCTTGTGACGAAGAGAACCGTGAGTAATCATCAGAACAAAATCTATGTCGCTGAATATTTTCAGGCCACATAATTATTTATTGCTGAGCCCACATGCGCGTATTGCGTGCATACGCTCATGGTGATATTTTCTGTTGCCCTTCCGCAATGGAATCCTGCACTGACGATGTGAGTATGTTCCTTTACTTGCTGTTCACATATATTATTACGAGGGCCGTTCAATAAGTTTTTCAACTTGGGCATTTGTGTTTACACATACAATGTCAACTTGTGGCGGGTGTGACACTAGTCACAACATCAGGTTGAGACGTGTCATAACAAGTTCCAGACACAACAATAAGTTAGATGTGATAGCTTCATTCACCTAAGGATGGTCACAATCATGGATTCTCTCAAACATGAAAAAGGCGCTGTAATAAAGTTCCTTACCAAGGAGGGATGCAAAGAAAAAGAAATTCATGATCGCATGTGTAAAGTGATGGGTAAGGATGCTCCTGACTATTCCACAGTTTGCCGTTGGTCTCAACAGTTTGAAAGGGGTAGGGAGTCCACAGACGATGTCCCAAGGTCAGGCAGTCCTTCAGATGCCACCCAACCGGAAACCACAGAAAGAAGAATTTTCTGACCGACGAGTGAAAGTATCTAAACTTTCTAGGGAATTCAAAATATCAGTTGAAACTGTTGTAACCATTATTCATGAGCATCTTGGTATGTCCAAGGTATCCGCAAGATGGGTACCTAGAAACATCAGAGCTCAAGATCGCCATCAGAGAACTGAAAGTTGTCGATACCTCCTGGATCTCTATACTGCTGATGAAGCCGGATTTCTTTCTCGTCTAGGTGATCAAACCTGGATCCACCATTGGGACCCAGAAACTAAATTGGAAACCAATGCAATGGAAGCACCCCAATTCTCCCTCTCCGAGGAAGTTTCGCACTCAACTGTCGGCTGGCAAGGTGATGGCCACTATATTCTGGGATGCAAGAGGCATATTACTGATTGATTACATGTCACCAAAAACTACAATCAATGGACAATATTATGCTAATGTAGTGAAAGAAATGCGAAAACACTTTTGTATGACAACGCTCCGGTTCACATGTCCAGAATTGCTGAGGCCGCCATATGTGAATGTGGATTCGAACAGCTAAATCACCCCCCTATATTGGGGGTAATAGGTGAGAAGAGGTGAAATTGGGTTTAACGTCGCGTACAAGATTATTGGACTTATACAACGACGTGCATGCATGCGCGTGCGTGCGTGCGTGCGTGCGTGCATGCGTGCGTGTGTAGCTGTTTGTACTACTCTTTACTAGTGCCGATTTTATAGTGCCAGCCCGATGAGATACCACGCCTCAGTTTAACATGAATGCCCGGCTTTTGTTTTGTTTTGTTTTTAAAACAGCACGCATCAATGTATTTTTGTGGCAGACACTTTCAATCTTTTTAAAATTGTGATCCCAATTGTCTGAGAATACCCTTGAAGAATGGTGGGTTCATGATATAGTCAGAATCATACAATGGACTCTCCTGTTAGGAACGATTTCTTATGATTTTCGAAAATGGATGTTTTTAGTCGTTTTTATTGTACTTTGGAATCTCTCAATGTTTGCCCTTGTATGTATGAGACGGAGGAGTTATAGTCATCTTTCATTGTTCTTTTAGTTTTCACTTGGTACATGGATGTAATATGCATTGTGTATTAACTATTTCCACTGTTAAATGCATTGTTGATTTTTCTTAAGTAAATTTAGGCTCGGTACTTAGTGGCTATTTATAAAAAACATATTCAAAAACAACCACACATAAAATGCATGCGAAAACAATAAACTACAATCATATCTTTGTTTTAATTAAGGATTTCATAAACAGTTGGCCAGAAGGCAAATGTGTAATATCAAGGTATGTTTGTTCTCGCAATGAAAATGTTCCTGAATGAAAATCTCACAAATATAGACGAAGTGATTTCATCAAGGATTGATGGCTAAGTTTGGTGAAATTGTACTGTGTTTATTGTAAACGCATTATTCAGCATTGTTGATAGTCAGGGGATATGCTCGGTGAATCCCAAAATAATCGATGTAATCATTTGGAATGCTTGAAACTGTCGTAATGTTATACCCTCTGGAAGACAGGGGGTCGCCCAGGACATAGATCGCCAGCTGACAGGACGGATGACTTTGGGCCACACATCTTCCGTATGGTGTTTTTTGACACAATAACAGCACCAGAAGCGACTAAGAGGATCGGGTGGTCAGGCTTGCTGATTTGATTAATGCATGTCATCAAATCCCAATTGCTTAGATCGATTCAAACTGTAAATCCCTGGATTGTCTGGTTCAGACATGATTTGTACAGACGGCCTTAATATAGCGGGAATATTGGTGCGTGATGCGTTAACCAACAACAAAAACAAACAGTTACAACATTCCGTTAGTCCGCCGAATATAGTTCAACTCTGTACGTTGTACACCTTTTGGGGGGACAACAACTTACTGATCTGACCAACTGTGTTGGTATTCATTTGACCCTCGCTGTTGACGACAAGCCTCTTCGCGTGGTATTCAGTGTGAGATTTCCCATCTTCATATAATATGTGTCATTGTAGTTGTACTGCATTCCTAATTCTGTTACAGCGACACAATAGCTAATCAATAAACGACACTCTCTGATTTTTCTCAAAGCTTCTCTGTATCTCAACAGAGGACCACGTTGCTCGCGTCTAAAGTTGAATGAAGGTGGTTCATGTGAGGTGGAATCGTGAATGCATAACAACAGCGATCGATATAGCATTTACATCTGTATCAAACTTTTAAAGTCAAACGGAACAAATGATTAAAATTATCGAACGTGAACACCAGAGAATAACCCATTTCGATTATTCGATTCCGTTGCGACGAAAGGTTCACCGTCAAGCATATAATGGACAATGTCAAGGGATTCACATTATAAAAGCGTAAACTCTGAAAGATCTCTTTTCCCGTCTCATTCTCAGACACTTGAAAGAAATTGGTCTGTATGATAAATTTTGAATATGTATGTGAATAATTGATTGCTTGTTGTTATATTTGATGTGATGATTTTACCAACTGACATTTTTGAAGGCTCTGTCTAGGTGGTTAAAGTACATTAAAATGATTGTCGCCCTGTGTGACACGTAACTAGTGTCATAATCGATGTTAGTGTCACCAACCAGCGTTTTAAGCCAACTCATTTTTTTAATGTTGGCTAGTATTGATCACACCCACCAGTACCTAAAGTGATGACGTAAATCCTGCTGGGGTATCGTGCAGGAAGCAGATGCACCGTAAGTACCCATGGTTCCCAGCGAGATGGCCCTGGTTACTAGTAGCCGTAGCCCGTGTTTCAAACTGTATAAAAGCCCAAATGCGTTTGATGAAATTTGTTTTTAAATAAAACTTTCCACTGATGACTCACTTGTGACAATACCAACTTGGTCTCATCACCATGTGGCTGAAATAATGCCCATGCAACGTTACATTTGAACTCACTCACCCCACTGGGCGGAACAGGCAAAATAGAGATGAACATTATTTCTACCATGAATTTGAAATTTACTCGATTCTGATTGGTCAATCACAGGCTATTAAATCACAATAAACCCCCCCTGATTGAAACAGCTGGTTTAACGGCCGCATCATATTTAAATAATTATATCTACAATTACAGGTTACAAAATGCACAGATGTGGTTACTACAATATTCATAGGATGTGTGGCAATACATTTCATGCAGAAAACACGATATAAATCTACAAAGTGAATGTATTTACGTTTTGGAGACAACAGAGAGCTTAGAATTTTAGCGCTTCTCTATATACGACTGTGACGTCATATCTTTTGCGTCACAATGAGCGATATGACGTCATAATGGTGACGTGCGATGTAGCGCGAAAGCCTTGCAAAGCTTGCTTTGTTTTTTCAGGGATGCCCACCACATTTTAGCTTACAAAGTTGCCGTGCTTACATGCTTTCAATGCCTGTCATATCTTTGAGTGAAGCATTACGGTGTAAACAAACTGCTTGAGTATATACAGTGATTCCGTAATTCAGATCGATAACCCACTCAAAACACTGGACTCAACCCATGCCATGTGACACAACATTTCGGTGCTATGGAGACGGGCGTTACAAATAGGGGGACGCACTGATCTCATTCGCAGTGTATCCCCGTCCAGACGCAGAAACGGTTCTCAGGCAAACATCATCAGTCATGTTTGAATTTGGTGTGATAGCTCTTCTTCTAGGTAGGTCGTTTATTCGCTCAAATTGATAATAATTATGCTCGACAATTGAAATTAATGTTTTGATTTATGAATATTAAAAGTAACACTATTCAGACTAATTCAAGTCTTAATAGCAACGACAGACGGTATATATATTACCTGGAAATTTACGATCTTACTTTTTTGGTCATGGTTATTATTAATTCCGCCGATGTATTTTCTTATTAACATATTAATCAAAGGGTGGATATCTACACTGCGATCATCCAAGAACCATTTGATGCCGATGTTGAAGTAAAGATATTCCGATGACATATGGTTTAAACAGAACGGGTAGGCTGCCGAAACGCCGGTTGTCATCATATTCATGTATACTGGAACTCAGATGAATACATATTGGGAAACGTTATTTCTTTCTTGTACATTACAAACTACAGATATGTATTTTAGTCGAAATTTTTGTTCGTTAGATACATTGGCACAATTGTTCGTAAGCGGCGACTAACGGATCGGGTGGTCAGGCTCGCTGACTTGGTTGATGCATGCCATTGATCCCAATTGCGTAGATGGATGCTCATGATGTCAATCACTGGATTGTCTGGTCCAGACTCGATTATTTACAGACCACCGTCATACAGCTGGAAGATTGCTGAGTGCGGCGTTAAACAACAAACAAACAAACTTTAAACAAATCACTGTGTAGTCATTGTAGCTGGTCATCAACTTATGCCTTACTGCCACATTATCATATTATTTGACTCTAACTGTCTTTGGAGGCATGGGTGTCCCAGTCGTCTAAGGCGCCGCGATTCGCTGCGCAGAGTTGCGTCCCTTGGGCTTGCCAGAAACCTATGATTGTGGGTTCGAATCCCGGTTCACCCCGATTATGTTTCTAGGTTTGTCAGCACCATACCCATGCTCGTGGGTTTTACCGAAGTGGTAACCGTCTGAGACCTGCATCACTTCGAGCTTTCCTCCCACATTAAGCTGACACGCCGAGATGTAACTAGAATACTGTTCAAAGCGGCGTTAAACCCAACTCACTCGCTCACTCACTAGCTGTCTTTGTACTCTTGCTAGATTTCAAGATATGGAAATATTATAACAATTTAGTATCTACAAAATTAGTGCAAACTTTGATCACAGGTGGGTTATTTCAATTACTAAGCTATTAAAGTAGCATATGTATTTGCATATCACCATTAAACGAATATATGCACACGTCTTGTGTGAAGTGGACATCAAGCCTGCAGCTTATCAGAACAGGACAAGCCTATAAATAAGGCCTTCCTTCAGCTCTTATGACATGAACAGATTTTATTATACTACTGGCAGTGAGCGACGTAAATCCCCTCACGTCAAGAGATGAGATAAACAGTGTACTCAACAACCGTCGTTAAATGTGCGATTTATTATATAGTGATCTTAAAGTAAGTATTCGAACCGTAACCCTTTTACGACCAACCCACTTCTATCAGGATTCATACAGGAGATATCTACATAGTCCTAAATCTATCAAAGGAAAGAGACAAAGGCTCGCAGGGACCATTCTTTTCCCCCAATGTATGATATTACGATGCAGATGCATGCTCGGATAAAAGTGTTTATTTACCATTTAATTGTGATATGTCTAGGTCTGAGTAAGTTTTGTATTCACATTCGCTGGTGATTCACCGTGATCATGCTTGTACATGATTTTACACGTTTACATTTATTGTTTATTATAACGAAATAAGTTTGAAAGCATACAAAATGCAACGTTATAAGATTTAACATAGTGATAACATTCTATTATGTAGTACATTGTTATTTAGTGTCTTTACATGACTTTGCACTGTATATCCCCTAGGTTTTTGTTCTCTGCTAGATAAATGCTAATTAACAGATAGATGCGATCGCGTAGAAAAATATGTGTTTTAATCAATACATCGATTTAGAAGTGCTTGTTGAATAGCATGAATAACATTAACAATGTTCATCGTAACAGACCATAGTCCATAAAGATGTCCTTCAATATACACCTATACATAAGCGGTTTTATGATTACAAACTGTTCTTTGAGATGGAGACTTCAACAATGATAATTCAGCAGAAAGACAACATAAAACTAAACCGTTCTATGTTGATGAAATTAGTTTGAATTGACCGGACGGGAAAACGTGTCCATTGAGAAATATCCTCTCCGAAATAAGTAACATAAAAATCGCCTGTGATTTTTCAAATTAGATGATATTACATTGTATGCGCTTGTACCGTGTATGCATTCGTACACATTGATGTATGTCAAGGGAAGCATACATTTGCGTACGCAATAAACCTTCTGGGATTTGTATTGATGTCACCAAACACACAAACATTGTCATGACTTAATGCATTCAATTGCATTTTTGGTGTTTTCAGTCTGCCTTCCCGAAACTGTTGCGGACACATGTACCGCTTGTAAAACTGCGTACGGTACAGCCAAGGGTAATGCTACAGACAATGCAGCTAAATGCGCGTAAGTCAACTTTAACAAAATGAGGCTACTGCATAAAATTTCAAATATACATCACGTATGGATTATTCTGGCGATGAATCTGCTTCATATTCAATTGAGAGTTTTCGAACGTAGATCTCTTTCCTTTTAAATCTCGAGAAAGTGAGAGAGAAAAAGGCGAATTCTTTCGTACTAATGATAGTGATGAGGGATGTGGCATCGTGTGAGTCTAATATTTGCAATAGAGGTTGAATTGTCGAATTCAGTGATCACTGCCGATTATTTCTCGTACGTTCGCTTTCCATTATTATCTCTGCAATACATCACTGTGGCGGAGTGATCATGGTCTGATGTAGCTTTGATACCACTTGTGGACGAATCAGAATGTAGGATCGTAAAGTGTGATGGTAGAGTCGTGGTATTGAAGTAGCATATTGTTGGGACAGGGGTCATATAAGTGATATAGGAGGCACTTATATTTTAGAGAATCATTTCACAGATGACATTAGTTCAAAGAACAAGGTGATCAGTTGTATTCGTGAGTTAGGTCATCAACCGATAAACTATAGTACGTTAAACTATTTCGTTTTGCAATGGTTTAATTTCGGAGGAGATCAGGGTTACAATGTTAAGTCATCCAAGTTTAAACAACACCATAAGACCAAAAATTAATTCAGTGTACAACAATGAAATCACATATAAAGAATAGTATATACTGTCGATATACATTTTCCGTTTTCATTTACTATTGTCACGGCCACTGTCAAAGTTATATCAGATATCATATTTACTGAAAAAGCAGCCCCTTCAACAAAATGCATATTAATTTCTTAGTGACATCTGTTTTTGTCTAAGTATCGATCTCTGATCATTGGCACTACAATAAGAGAGAGATTGAATACTGTTGGGATGTATTGGCGTGGTCCAAATAGTGTTGTGATGTAGTGGTGTGGTCCAAATATTGTTGTGATGTTGTTTGTTGTTTAACGCCGCACTCAGCAATATTCCAGCTATATGACGTCGGCTGTAAATAATAGAGTCTGGACCAGACAATCCAGTGATTGATATCATGAGCATCGATCCACGTAATTTAGATGCGATGACATGCATCAACCACGTCAGCGAGCCTGACCACCAGATCCCGTTAGTCGACTCTTACGACAAGCTTAGTCGCCTTTTACGGCAAGAATGGGTTGCTGAAGACGTATTGGTGTAGTCAAAATAGTGTTGTGATGTAGTGGTGTGGTGCTGGCACGGTTCATTTTATTGAGATGGCTTTTCATAGTACTGTCAGGCTCCACTGCCAAGATGATATCAAGATGTCGAAGGGATGTAGATTGTGTGGCCGTATTTCCCTAGCGGGCAATTATTATTCGTATCTTTGCTGGTTTTCATCATTATGTGACGCAAGTGATTCATCGCGATGTAGTGATGTCATAATAAGGTATTGTCGTGTGTTCGGTTTTGTGTCGCCATGGTGTTCAGTTTGATATGATAGTATTATGCTCAGAATCGGACTGTCACCACATCTGCAATATTTCAACCACACTGTGAATAGGATATGTGATATGTTTTTGGTTTTCTAAAAAGGACAGTACCATAGCCGACATCTCATATTTACATTTAAAGTATTTGACGTGTAACTTAAAGTCATTTATAAGAAGACGACACATGCGAAAGAATGAAACACCAATTGCATGTTTAGATTTAAAAATACATCTCTATTTATACTGTTTCATTGGAATAAATAGATTGTTCAAATGTCAATATTATGTGTCTTACACAGAGCGATAGTGACATATTTGCACTGTCTGGAGGGGTCTAGGAAAGATGAAGCCGGTTGTCCTCTACCAAAAGCTGATTCCGATGCCATAGAGACTGATTACGCCGCAGCAGCTTGTAGTGGGTATACAGTTGATATATATGTGAAAATATACCAAAATAATACATGTAAAAAACAGCGTGCATCACGCAGACATGTAATGTACAAGTTTCAAATGGTACCATCAGAGTAGGGTGAAGAAGGGAAGAGATGGTTGATGATTGAGTGCTTGAGATTGCCAGATCATGAAATGTTCATGAGGAGTGTGTGTTCTTTTGTGTTTTATAGATGCATCATTCACTGATACCTGCATATGTCAGAAAGACTTCTGGGCGACCGACGTAGGAACTAATGATGCTGCAGCTGTTTGCAGGTAATGTATACATGTTGTTGGATCATCCTCCTTATACAGCAATACTTGTTGAAAGTCACTTTTCAACTAAGATATTACAATACATCTATCAAAGTCTACGAGTGCGTAGTAAATTACTTAGTAAATCCGATATGTCCAGAAATAATTAGTTGTTTTGAAACTTTCGCATCTAGATTAGGAGTCTCTACATTTCATTTTTGTCTGTTTGTTTCTACTAGAAATGCATATACATTTAAATTGTCAAATTGGCTTGACATGATGAGTATATTACTGATAGATCCTTTTGTATTGAACGTCGCGCTGAGGCTGAAAGCCTTTGCGACGTAAAACTTCATATTTCCATTCCATTCCTTTTCTATTCCTTTTGTATTTTATACTACTACTGCTGCCACTGTGGTTATTGCCACTGTAATTACAATACCTCTATTACATGTCAATCATCATTTTAGTTATCCAATAATTATATATTGCGCTGTACAGCTGTAAATGATATTCTTTATCTGTATGTGTATTTAGGTCAATGTCCTTTCATACAATACAGATTGATTGATACTTAAATATCTGTGATAAGATATATGTGGTAAAGGAAGTAACAGAAATGAGTGAGTTCACCTTTGTCTTTTGTAACGTCCATTTTCCCTCCATCTACAGTGGTTATCAAGTTGACATTGATATATCCACAGCGCCACCACGGCTTACATCGTGTGCTTGAAGGGGAAGACAAATGCGGCCTGTGATGGTTCCAACACTGTAGTAGCTCTGGCTACTGGCGTAGGGACCAGGATAACAAATCTGGGAAGCTCCTGTAGTATGTTACTCTTTCACCACACGTTTGATTCATTAGTCATGTAATCACCTACTACACCAATAGAACGGCATTAAAGTGAACATACATGAATGCCTACCAGAGTAATAGCAACGTAAAGTTACTTCATTGGAATCGCACAACAGTGTTATCATGATTACTCATCAATAATAGTTTCAATATCAGCTTGTTATCTATTGTCAGCTGTCACCAGCGCCTGCCAGTGTGAAATTAATGCCGCTAAAGCAGACATCTCCACTGATGCCAAGAAGTGCACGTGAGTTAAGCTATACTTTTTTCATTGTCAGAACTCGAGGTTATTAAATCAATAGTTTCTTGCAGCAGTGTTTACTTCGAGGTACATAAGTGTAATTTCAGACACAGTATGTTTTGTTTGTTGTCACATGAATGATCCAGTTTTGTTTGTATGTTTGTTTTTAACGCCGCACCAGACAATAGTCCAGCTATATGACGGCGGTCTGTAAATAATCGAGTGTTTGACATCGGTCTACGCAATTGGGATACGATGACAGGCATCAACCACTTCAGCGAGCCTGACCACGAGATCCCGTTAGTCGCCTCTTACGACACTCATGGGTTGGTCCCATTCTAAGTCGGATCTAATTCTAAGGCGTGGACAATTACAATTGAGTGTCATCGCCCCCGACGCTATGGAATATTCCTCATAGTGTCAACCACTGGTTTTATTTTGGCTCGTGTATTTAATGGCCGCTGCTCGCGGACTTAAACAACCAAATAAAAAATTTAAAACATCGAAATAACTCTCCCCGCACATGTGTCCCTGTATGATGAATATACCAATCAAACTAATACATAAAACAACTCACTTATTATTCACGAAATCGGGTTGAGACAGTTTTAGTAATACACGCTTCTAATACATCCTAGTAGTATAGATAATGGGGGTTCTGCGGCAACCCAACTGGAGTCAGATTTATATAGCTATACCACTACTACAGAGGGAATTTGTTATGCAAAAAACGATAATGCGCACAAATAATCGTCATGAGACTAAGCTAAATTGTAATGAAAAGGGCTCTAGCTCACCAGTACCTGAACCATTTTCGAACCCTATCAATGCTTCTATAATATACATTTTTATATGGTGTGATCCAACGATAGCAAAGAATCTATTTTTAATCTCTAACCAGTTCTTTGGTTTTGGCACGAAATAATTGACGCGCTTGTTGTCTCCCCTGTTCTATGAACTTTTTTATCTCATCTTCGCTAATACCACTTGTCTTACGAGAATTGGAACGAATCTCCTGCTTCATTGCGTTGTATTTGGTTAGTTCTGACAACACTAAACGAACTTCCTCCTCGGATATCTTACAATCGGCCAGTGCTGTTGAAATACGATCCTCAGTGCTGTTCAACTTTGCTTCGGCGAGTATCCGAATATTATCATTTTTTAATAAATGCTTTCTTTTGCAACTTTTATGCTATTCCTGCCAGTCCTGAGACTCCGGCGGCTACTTCCATGCCAAGTACGATCGGCGTGGCGATTATAGTTGATAGTAAACCAACACCGAGTCCCATGCCAGCTGTTACAAGCGCAGTGTCAACTCCGTCAAGAGCATTCACGGCTCTGCGATACTTTTATACAATCCAAGTCTCAACTCCCTCACCTTCTCTATTTGATGTTTTATTTCACTTATTTGATGTAATCGAAATCCATCAACAGTATCCATCTTTTCAGATGCTACATCGAGCGCCGGATATAAACCCATAATGTATATTATTATATCATATAATAGTCTTTAATTGGTTTTGCTTCAATGTTTTGAGAGTATACATCAGTCTTATTAAATGTATATTATACGGCATAAATGTATTAGTAAGAGAAATGCTATCGCTTTTATTAACTTGGACCCCCTCAAGGGTTGCAACGGGTGATGCTCCCATATAAGTATTACTGCAACGTTGACGTTGGTGTTTCTTGAGCCATTTAATTGATAGCCCTGGTAATAAGGCATCTACTGGTGCATCTCCAAACAAGACTTCAATAATAATTGTAGAAAGATCAGGGCCCACTTGCACAGAACAATCTTAGTTACAATCGATCTTAGGCGGCTAAAATCAACTTTACAATCACCCTACAATTGTCCTATTCCACTTGCACAAACCGATCTTAACGCGATTGTAAGACGGCTTGGATTTAAGATCGCGATCTTAACTAAGATTGAAATCTTCAATGGTGGAGGTACAAATATCTTAAACTAGACTTCTGTCTATGGTTGTCTGCAAACGCGCAAATCTTGCTGCGCATACAACGTGTAGAACCGGTTACGACATACAACACGTACCTCCCTCCACGCACCTTGCACAGTTGAAAGGTCTCAACTATTTGAAGGAAACTATAATTAGAATGTTGGCATATAGATTTAGTGACATTCTTATTATGAAAGTAAAAAAAGAAAATAATAATAGATCTCTATGTCCAAATAACATAACAGGTAAATGTATGATCGTCATCTATTTGGGGGAGCTTTCCGTAAAATCCTAAATACATGTATATCCTTCATGTTTTAGTTTTGCCGCTATTACAAAGGATGTTATGACAACCTTTTCAAAACACAGTAAGACGGGAGATTTCAAGAATGCATGTACGGGAAATAAGAATAATGTTTCAAGAAAGAAGTTGTTTAATATATATTCATTTGGTATTAATTATATTTTTTAAAAAGTGTGAATTTTACTTTTGCTATTTATGGGATATTTTACACAAATTTCAAATGTCTCATCATGTGTATTTGCTTGTTTGATGAATATTTGTATTAGTTTCTTATAAATTCAGATATTACAACCGCTCGTGACTGGATATTGGATATAAACGTATGATTTTGCACTTCAACTTGTGTTTACTTGTAGATTATTTAATGATAAACTAAAGACAAAATAACTGACACGAATGTGACCCAAAAGATATACAAGGGGAGCTCGGCGGTTCTACAACATTAATACACTAACTGGGCAAGGAAGATTCTACGATACTTATACAAAGGGAAACCACTCCCATCTAGAATATAAACTATGATTAGCTGCCCTTGATTTATCTTAAAGGTCACGGACGTTACAAATCGCTTGCAGACGACTTAGGTTTTATCCTTCCCTTGATAAGGTATGTTGTTTTAGACTTCTTTCAGCATTGACACGGGTGGGAATAGTACTTTTAACTATCGACTCGAAAGTTATGTGGTTCACTATCGCAATTAACGATATTTTTGACGTTAAATCTGTGGTGCGGTCTTCGTGTTGTTGAAGTGTCGATTCGAATCATAAAATCTAACAAAATAAATAGGCAGTGTTTGATCGTAAAGCAGATTATTAATGTGAAACTGGCCCTGTCTTGCACGCCATTTTGTCAGGAACTACAACGATCTTAGCTACTTAAGATTGGTCTGGACCAATTGTAAGTTTCGATTGTAGCTTACAATGATCTTAACCTACAATCGCTTTGTGCAAGTGGATGACAATTGTAGCGTAAGCCTAAGATCGCGATCTTAAGGATTTACAATAATTGTAGCGCTAAGATCGCTTTGTGCAAGTGGACCCTGGTATAGCATTCAAGTTCTGTTTTATATAATTGAATTCAGTAACCAAATTTAAACTGACATTTATTACTGCCGGACGACTCAATAACATATGACCTGGGTTTTCTAGCAGGGGAGCGACTAACACACTTTTTCGTTTTGATGGGATATAAGCCCCGAGTACGATCCTTCTATTTATTATCTTAGTTAATTGGTGTCCCTTACCCATCAACACATATGGTGGGGTAATGACGATATTCAATAGCCACTCGATTTTTTCTTCGACCATAGTCCATTTATTATCATCGTTGCGAGTAAGATTGTATGAAGTGTTTATATTGAGTCTACTAACGTCAACATCACTTAAATCTCCTAGATTACCTGTGAATACAACTTCTTTCCGCTTGTATACATTATCTTGTAAGTGTAAAGCATATAACTTACCATCGGTACCGGGTTTGCCGAATCCTTCTGTGTCCCCAAGATCGGAAAGCGCAATTGTATTACATTGTCTAAGGATATGTGTTCCAGGGCCTGATGAATCAACCATTATTTATAATATGGAGAGTTACACTCAAGTATCCTACATGTACAGGTTGATGTTTTACATCTAATACAGAATTTTTGAGGTCTGAAATAATACACCACTTTAATGTTTTATATTGTCATGTTGAGAAAGATTTCCATTCTACCGCTATTGTATTTTTCATCTTTGACTGGAAAAGCTCTCAGCAGAGTTGAAGGACTTTCGAGTTAAATATTATCCATTGTACTGATCTGATCAAGATGGATGCACAGCTCTTTATAGGGAACTAAATCGGGTAATTTTACTCCCTGCAATGTTTCGTTGGGTGATAATATTATTACTCCTCCTCTACTTAGTCCACGTGTTTCTGCTATGCCCGAGCAAGAAGTACTTCATCTTCTTCAGCGTTAAAAATCAGCATCCCATTCGACTCATTTCGTGTGAGACTAACTCCATTAGGCTTAAAATTGTCATCATTGAGTGAGCATACGCTGTAATACCCATCAGGTATAATGTGTTGTTTTCTATTTATTATTATCTGAATATTTCTTCTCCCAGTACTTATATTGGTCCACCGCGGGTAATACGTTACATCGCAGATAGTGACTTCAAGTTGACCAGCCGAGTTATCGATAGTATGAAGCAGTTGAATAGACTGACCATTTGTTATTCCCGGGGGTGTTACATACATATTAAATATACAAAGATACTTTATCATAACTTAAATATAAAATTGACTTACATTACTAATCAGTTGATTTTAGTAAGTGCCTCTGGTGCTAATTTTATTGTTAAATTCCCTGATATCTTTGAAAAATACAGGGTCACGGCAACTAGTGATAAAATTGTGCATGATTGGTTCCACAATCCAATGCAATTTTGGCAGAACCAGTTAAACTTTGCCGTATGGTGTTCCACAACAGGATGTGGTGTATCTCTTTATGCCCCAGGATTTGAACTTAATAAGTCTGTTTTATTATTTCACGTGTACTATCAGATTAGACATATTCTTAAAGAAATTAGTGCCCCATTACCGCAGGATCGAGCATGGAATGCATCAAATAATCCATATGATAAGAGGGCCTTCGAACGTATTTGTAACGAATTTAATGTTTCTACGAGTGAAGATTGGCGTATCAAAGGAATTAACCATGGTTTAGGAGCTCCTTACCCAGGTAAAATAACCGTCAAAGAAGA